TTTTAGGATAATGAAGAAGGAATAAAATGGTACATGTGAGTCACTTAATGTGCTGCTTGACACATAGTAACTTATCAATAAATGTTTTTCATTTTTACCAGAGGTTGGGCATTTTAAATTCCACAATTCTAAATATTTTCATTATTTTTTCCATGTACCTCATGTTTTTAAGATTTTTATTGTATTAGCTGAAGTTATTTATTAAGTAATCATTTCTTTTTATGTTTTATTTCCCCACTATTTCTTTTTTCTTTGAGATGGAATCTCGCTCTGTCACCCAGGCTGGAGTGCAATGGCATGATCTTGGCTCCTGAGTATCTGGGAATACAGGCACATGCCACCATGCCCAGATAAATTTTTTGTATTTTTTTAGTAGAGGTGGGGTTTCACCATGTTGCCCATGCTGGTCTCGAACTCGTGACTTCAAGTGATCCGCCTGCCTTGGCCTCCCAAAGTGCTGGGATTACAAGCATGAGCTACCGTGCCCAGCCCTCCCCGTCTAATTCATCACCTATATATAGCTTCTGATCAACTTGGGGTATTCTTAATAGATTAACTGTAATTAATGTAATTTGTCTAAAAGGAAAGACAGTTATTTATAGTGAGTAGAATTTCCCTTAACTTTTGAAATAAATGAATTGTTGAACTTTGCCAGACTACCATTTGGAACCAAAATATTAATTGATTGATGGTAAATAGGCATTGGGTGACTTTCTGCAGTTAAGCAAGGCAATCATGATTTGCCTTTGTATGCCAGCATATTTGCTCAGATACTGCAGATGGGTAAGAATGGCTGAAAAGAAAATTGTTAGTTCAAGGAAAGGAAGGAAGTGCCCATAAAGAAAAAGAAGATATGATATTAACAGTATTTAAGTACTTAACAGCTGGGAATTAACTTATGAATCACAAAAGTTTTAGGAATTGTGCGATGTCAGTATTTAAATTATGGTAAAATGAATATGCTTCATTCATGTTCTGTGTTTATATTAAAATGCTCTTATTTAATAATTTATTTTGTATATAATTAAAAACATTTAATATAAAATTACAATATTTGAAGTATGATTGCTACTCTTTCACTAGTACTTTATTTCCTCTTTGAATAGTGTCTAAAATACTGCATTTTTTTTGTATTATTAATATCAAGGCTGAAATGTATTCAGTTTCTAGATGAACACTTTCCAAATTGATTATAGACTTGATAGGGAACAATATTTATTTAATAGAAGTATATTTTGTACAATCTTAGCTAAAACTCTGAGAAGAAAATGCTATGTTATAAGGAACCAGTTTATCTGATGTAAAAGTACATTGACATTTTAACGTGCAAAAAAACAAAAGTACAGCTTAAGAAGTATGTCTGAAAAGTTAATGTTAAATAAATTGGGTTTTCCAGATCATACTCTATATATGCCCTGAAAAACAATTCTGTAATACAACACACCAAAAACATACACATACTCACACAACGGACACATAATACATAAAACACCCACAGTGCACACACACAAATGGCAACCCTTATAAGCACATTAAGGTCTCTGAGAAGTCCTACAATAGAGACCTACTGTGCTTTGTTTAATCATGTGCTTCTCCAGTTGATCTCAGAATCCTCCCCCTCCCCCCAATTCCTGATGACTTTGTGTTTTTTGGAACATACCTTATGAATGACTTCCCTATGAAATATTTCCCAAGGAAAACTATTACACAGGAGAAGTATAAGATAACCTCAACATTTGTGGGTAAAAAACAGTTACCACCATTAAAATAACCTGTAGATCAGAAGCAACACCTCCAAATTATGTAAAGAAATTTAGGATTCTGACAGGACTGAAATTTCTTATTTCCTTCTGGAGTCTAGGTTTGTTCTTTTGGTGTAATGTACAGATAAAGCCAGGTCTATCTGCCAGTGATCACTGTGCTGCTATTCTCTGTTCACATTGCTAGAGAGATGTAGCTGGGCAGTAAAAGATGGTCATCTTCCTGCACAAGGAGTCACTAACACAAGGATGGAAGCTGTGTCTCCCCCACAAGTGCTGTCAGCATTGTTTGACTTAACAGCACAATTGGGAGCCTTATCTTTCTGCATTCCTGACACAGTGGACCAAAGGCCACTCCTCATTAACTTGACCCCTTTCTGTTTATTCCATATAGAATGAAACATGAATACATTTCCACACTTTAAGAATGTATGGTAGGGCATTTAGAGGGTACTTACTCTCACAATTAAAAGGATTTTATCTTCATAAAGAAGCTGACATTTGCTGTCAGGATGCCAGACCACAATTCTATATAAGCTTTTCTTTTCTTTTTTTTTTTTTAATGATTGATATGGTTTGACTCTGTGTCCCCATCCAAATCTCACGTCAAATTGGAATCCTCCTATGTCAGGGGGGTTCCTGGTGGGAGGTAATTGGATCATGTGGATGGATTTCCTCCTTGCTATTTTTGTGATAATTTTCACAAGACCTGATGAACTTTAACAAGTTCCAATTGTGGCTAAAAGGGTACAAATCAGGTTTTTGCTTCAGAGAGTGCAAGCCCCAAGTTTTGGCAGCTTCCACATGGTGTTGGGCCTGCAGGTTCACAGAAGCCAAGAGTTTGGGAGTCTCTGCCTAAATTTCAGAGGATGTACGCAAACACGTGATGTCCAGGCAGAAGTCTGCTACAGGAAGAGCCCTCATGGAGAGCCTCTACAGGGCAGTGTGGTGGGGAAATGTGAGGTTGGATCCTCACAAAGAATCCCCACTAGGGTACTGCCTAGTGGAGCTGTGAGAAGGCCACCATCTTCCAGACACCAAAATGATAGCTCCACTGACAGCTTACACTCTGTACCTAGAAAAGCTGCAGGCATTCAATGCCAGGCCATAAAAGCAGCTGCAGGGGCTGTACTCCAGAGCCACAGAGGTGGAGCTGCCCAAGGCTTTGGGAGCTCACCCCTTGCATCAGCATGCCCTGGATGTGAGACATGGGGTCAAAGCTGATTATTTTGGAGTATTAAGATTTAGTGACTACCCTGCTGGATTTTGGACTTGCATGGGGCTTGTAGCCCCTTTGTTTTGGCCAATTTTTCCCTTTTGGAATGGGAACATTTACCAAATGCCTATACCCCTCCCTTAGATCTTGGAAATAACTAACTCGTTTTGATTTTACAGACTCATAGGTGAAAGGGACTTCCCTGATCTCAGATGAGACTTTGGGCTTGAACTTTTGAGTTAATGCTTGAATGAATTAAGACTTCTTTGAGGCACTGTTGGGAAGGCATTATTGGTTTAGAAATGTGAGAAGAATATGAGATGGGAGGGACCAGGGGTGGAATGATATGATTTGGCTCTGTGTCCCCACCCAAATCTCATATTGAATTGTAATACCCACACGTCAGGGGAAGGGCCTGGTGGGAGGTGATTGGATCATGGAGACAGATTTCCCCTTTGCTGTTATTGTGATAGATCTGATGGTTTAAAAGTGTGTGGCACTCTCCCTTTGCTCTCTTTCCTGTTCCACCATGGTAAGAATGCCTGCTTCCCCTTGACCTTCCACCATGATTGTAAGTTTCATGAGGCCTCCAACCATGCTTCCTGTACAACTTGTGGAACTGTGAGTCAATTAAACCTCCCAGTCTCAGGTAATTCATAGCAATGTGAGAACAGACTAATACAATGATTGTTTATTGTCTAAAAGATACAGTCCTAATTAAACTTTGTTTATATTAACCCTAATATTTTGATCTTCCTCTTTCTTTAACTTTGTAAACAGTAGAGTTTTATCCAAATATGAAATTTTATACCTTCACAGCTATCACTTCAATAAAGATATTTATTAAACAAATTTTAAAATGTTTTAACAACATAAAAATATATTTACAACATAATCTGCTGACTAAAGACTCCAACAAAGTTTACAGTACCTACTGTATTATTCTGTTGTAGAACAGAATACAGATGCCAACAATAGTTTGCAGATTAATTTAGTTCACAGTTATATCTATTGCTTTAAGCAATACCATTAATGTAAATGCATGATTTACAACATCCCCAACACAGCAAGAAAAGAAATAGATTTATAAAGCAAGATGTCTGCTAGGCATTTATGATGTCAAATATGCCAAGTATTTTCTTTTCTTTTCCTTTTCTTTCTTTTTTCTCTTTTTTTGAGATAGGGTCTTGCTCTGTCCCCCAGGCTGGAGTGGGGTGGTGCAGTCTTAATTATGCCAAGTACTTAAATGATTTTTCTCATTATGCCATAAGAATAATGCTGTTTTAGTGGTGAAAGATAAATTTTTATTAGCTCAAAGACCACTGAAAAACTTCTAGGAAGTTCCAAAGTAAAATCTGGCTATTCTTTATGTAAAATAGATAGAACAGCTGCAATCTCTGTGTATTCCTTAAACATAAACTGTTGATTCCATTTATGTTAATTGAACTGCAGGGAAATGACTTGTTACAAATAAAAATCAAATTTTAGAAACCAGTTAACACCACTGGCCTAAGTATGGTTTTTAATTGCTTGCATATGTCCAAGAAATTTCACCATGACGTACAGATTAAAAATTAACAATTACTTCTAACCTGTACGTAAGCCAAAGTGCTCACTCTTTTTTTTGTAGGAAAGTTAGAGATTTTTTGTTACTGAAAAAGACAGTTCATTTTCCAGGGCTTCAAAATGACCAGAGTAGTGAAGAGACACTGTCATGGAATCTAATAATGTATTTTTGTATTAACCTATGTGTACATTGACTATTTCACATTGACTAAGTTGCCTTAGCTGGAAAAAGGCAGCTCTGTCATTTCTTTTCTGATCCTTTTCTTTACTTCTTCTTCACTAAGGAGGATGGCCCAGCAACAACTCAGCCCATGCTTTTTAACCCACCGCCTCCATACCCTCTACCCAATGTCCAACTAAGGATCCCTGAAGGATTTTTTAACAGAACCAATGTACTGACCATTACTTTACATTTTTCTAGATGACTCTGAGGTCCAAGTGAAAGACAATATTTGCAAGCAATTCATTGGATTTGACCATCAAAACCCTGTTCCAGGTAAGGTCTCCTTCATTGTCTGTGGTAGAAATTTTTTCTCGCTTTATTTTCCAGCTGAATTAAGATACGAAAATCTCATGTACATCAAAGATGACTTACAGAATTTCTTGGTGGTCTACATTAATATAAGGTGAAAGTCCATTACCAACTAAGAATTCAAGATGGCATTCAATGATGACTGTTATCAGTTACACACTGTATGGAAAAGCGCTTTTTCCTTTAAAAAGCGCTTTTTCTTTAAAAAGTTTGCAATTGGCAACCAAATGGACTGGAAAATCTGGCACAAAAATCCTGGGCCTTTTCCACAAGCATCTTGTCTGCTTTATTTTGGGTTGCCATTACTTTGACCACTGTTTCCCACAGGGTTTTGTGATGTCATAAGTGAACAAAAGACCTGTGCAAAGAGAATACAGCATGATCTGATGCTCATAGCCTTTTCTGTAATTACAGGCACACTCAGGCATCATGGAAAATGATACCTATTGTGGAATCCCTCACTTGCTGATGAATAATCTAGAAGATCAGAAATGTGGTACTATTTTGGCTTTCAGGTAGAAAAGCACCCTGAATCTAGCTTCCTGCTATGAATGAGTACTGAGCTTGGGATGGTGAAAATTGATTTTCAAGATAAATAAGTATGGCCATATTCTGAGGTTCCTGGAATCAACTGTGTTCTGTTTAGGTGATGGAAGCAAAGCTTACATCTGAAAATAACCTACAAAAATAATATGTGAACACATGGCACTTTGAGATAGACTGAAAACATGCTACTATGTTCTATGGATCAAAATGCAAAGCTATCTGTACGTATATTAATTTTCATTTTCATTAATTTGGGATATATTGATATTACATAACTATGTGCTTACCTATATAGACCGTAAAACAAATTTTGACAATGTTTCTAATGACAACATACTTTCTAGCCCCAACTGCTGGGAAAAAAATAGGAAAATGACTGTCTCTGTTTTTTTATTTTTTAAATTTATTTATTTAACTTTAGGTGCATACTATATCTGGCATTTCTCCCCATGTTATCACTCCACTGACTGTCTCTGTTTTTAAATGGAAAAGCAAAACCATTACTCCTCATTGCGACATGGACTGGCCTCTAAAAGGTTCAGAGTCAAAACCTCTGATTATTCCCCAATATAATAAAACACATAAGCTTTGTCACACTGGTCAGGAAGTCTGATCATCTCTAGTGTTTTGTCTTAAAAATTGCTTTCCAGGATAGGACTGCAGTAGTGGCTTATGCCTGTAATCCAGCACTTTGGGAGGCTGAGGCAGGCAGATCACCTGAGGTCAGGAGTTCGAGACCAGCCTGGCCAACATGGTAAACCCCTGTCTCTACTTCTCTACTACAAATATAAAAATTAGCCAGGTGTGGTGGTGCCACATTTCCCAGTCCCTAGAGCCTTTCTTCTTCTTTTTTTTTTTTTTTTTTTTTTTTGAGGCAGCATCTTGCTGTGCCACCCAGGCTGGAATATAGAGTTGAGACCATGGCTTACGGTAGCCTCAACCTCTCCTGGCCAAGAGCCCTTCTTAGCACCCGCTGGGTAAACTATGTTCCGCCCTTTAGTCTCTGAGCTTTGTGGCCCACTCCAAGTCAACTGCTGACCGAGAAACGCAAGTCTCCCCAGTCTCCGAGTCTTTATGGATTTGGTTGTTAGTCACTCTCAGCAATAGCTGAATCCCTTCCTCCGCATTGGTCTGCCCTACCTCACTGAAAATGCAAGTGAAGGTGGATGGTTTGCCTTTCTGAGGAGCCCCTTATGAGTAAATAATGCAGCAAATTCAGAAAAGTTAGGTGAGCAGCATAGAGAAATAAGCAAAGGCCAGAGCATGGAAAGCCTTGACTCCATGCTGCTTCATGAGAACAGGGGTTCTTAGTCCTATCAGAGCAGCAGCACCTTTGACAGCGAACGCTTGTCATCTTTTCAAAGGAGGTGTCGTCTGTCTTCAAAGCAATGCAGCTGAAACTCTCGACTACGTTCTCCACAACTTCTTCATCTTGCTGATCTTCTCGGCCGGATTCAGCTCAAAGAGGTGGCACCTCTGTGCAATGTGAGAGCTCAGCAACTTCCCTAAACTGGTGGAGAAGAGAGTGTAGACAACCAAAGGCCGGGGCGTGCACCAAGGCCTCCTCCTCCATGCGCCCTCCATGGCTCGGGGCCAAAGGAAGGCAGCAGGCTCAGTCCTGGGTGGTGGGGGGCGGCTGGGGGCATTTTCTTTGGTGCCTGGCTATGCAAGCTTTCCTTAAGACCTGACAATTACTCAGGCACGGGAATCCTATATTGCTGAAATTAGAACAAAAGGCCTATCTACCTTAATGCATTCATATTTCATATTTTGAATAAAACCATGATTTTCCACAGAGTGACTTCTGCTCTATTAAAGAAATGAGGCCAGGCATGGTGGCTCATGCTTGTAATCCCAGCACTTTGGGAGGCCAAGGTGGGTGGATCACTTAAGGTCGAGGTTGGAGACCAGTCTGGCCAATATAGTGAAACCCCCATCTCTACTAAAAATATGAATAAAAGAAAAGAGAAGGAGAAAGAGGAGGAAGAGGAAAGAAGGGAACAAGGAAGAAAGGAAGAAAAGAAAAAGAGAAAGAGAAAAAGAAAAAGGAAGAAACAAAGAAGGAAAGAAAGAGAAAGAAAAAGAAGGAAAGAAAGAAAGAGACAGAAGAAAAGCCCAGTGAGGTGGTGGGTGGTTTTAGTCTCAGGTACTCAACCGGGTGAGGAACGAGAATTGCCTGAACCCGGGAGGCGGAGGTTGCAGTGAGCCAATATCACACCACTGCACTCCAGCCTGGGCGACAGAGCCGGACTCTGTTTCTAAATAAAGAAAGAAAGAAATGTAAAGAAATGGAATATCCTGGCAACTTCTAGATAAGCTTTTTATTAGTAAGTTACCTATTCATTAAGGTACAGAGAAGGAAAGAACTTGCTAAAAATTATTTTGATTCAGTTCACTCATATTTGAATACATGCAAGATATTTTGCTATGCATTTTGCCTGTGTTTTGACCTATAAGCAAGAAGTAAATATGTATCTTCATCCTTCCAGAATAATTTTCACCTGTATTTGATGGGTATTTGCAGACTGAACATGTGCCAGAGCCAACCTGTCCTTTCTTCTTTAACTCATAGGACTAACCAGGCTGGCTAGTGGTAATGATACCAAACTAGGCTGGATTTATAGGCATTTTAAAATGTTAAGGAACAGTATCTACTCAGAATCAGATATTCTGAAAAAATGAAAAATTTCCTTTGACCTTTTGCCAAAAAATTCCTTGACATTTCACCATCCTCTTCTACCTTTTTTTTTTTTTTTTTTTTTTTTTGAGACTGAGTCTTGCTTTGTTGCCAGGCTGTAGTGCAGTGGTTCAATCTCAGCTCACTGCAACCTCCACCTCCCAGGTTCAAGCGATTCTTCTGCCTCAGCCTCCTGAGTAGCTGGGACTACAGGCATGTGGCACCATGCCTGGCTAGTTTTTTTGTTTTTGTTTTTGTTTTGTTTTGTATTTTAGTAGAGTTGGGGTTTCACCATGTTGGCCAGGATGGTATTGATCTCCTGACCTTGTGATCCACCTGCCTCAGACTTCCAAACTGCTGGGATTACAGGTGTGAGCCTTTCTACCTTTTCATTGTACCATCCTGAGTTGAGACACCAGGGCCAGCACTTTGAAATACCAGTATGGTCTAGGAGGCTGTATTGCTATAGAGGGTATTTCTGACCTATCAATGCTGCAGACACAGGAACTTCCTTAGCACTTTAGCCTGAGATCATTGGTAGAGACTCAAGTCTCAGTGATGGGATTCGGAGGGCTGCCTGTTAATTTTTGAGAGTGAGTTGTGATGGTTATGTTTATTTGCCCACTTGGCTAGGCTATAATATTCAGTCAGGCTTTCTGTATGCTTGTGTGAAGCTATATTTAGGTGAGATGAACATTTAAATCAGTAGACTTTGACTAAAGCAGAGTGCCCTCCAAAATCTGGTGACCCTCACCCAATCAACTGAAGGCCTTAACAGAAAAAAGGCTGAGCCCTTTTGAGGCAGAGGAAATATACCAGCAGGCTGCTTCCAACTTGAGATGCAACACCTTGTCCCTGGGTCTTCGGCCTGCAGGCCTACCCTGCAGATTTTGGACTTGCTAACCCCCATAATCATGTGAGCCAGCCAATTCTTTAAAATCAATCTCTTCCTCTCTCTCCACACACACTCCCTTTCAGTTCTGTTTCTCAGGAGAACCCTGACTAATTGATGGGTGGCCTTTAATACGCTTTATGGTCAAACCCGTGAGCTGCTTAATAAAAACAATCTGGGATGGCAAAGAAGACTTTTTTGGCTTGATTCCCAAATTTGGCTTTGACCTTTGCCTAGACCAGGCGTCCTCAAACTTTTTACACAGGGGGCCAGTTCACTGTCCCTCAGACCGTTGGAGGGTCGCCACATACTGTGCTCCTCTCACTGACCACCAATGAAAGAGGTGCCCCTTCCTGAAGTGCGGCAGGGGGCCGGATAAATGGCCTCAGGGGGCCGCATGCGGCCTGCGGGCCGTAGTTTGGGGACGCTTGGCCTAGACTTTAGCCTCTTAGTGCCCCCCACCCCGAAAACCCTGTGACTGACCCTCAGGACCCAGCTGACTGCCTCTCGAGTAGGCTCTTCTACATAGAGCTGAATCTGAGCCCCTAGACATTTTTCTCTTCAGCTAAAATTACACGGGGCACACTCCTAACTTTGAACAACATAAGATTCAATTCAGAACTTAAATCGTGAGCGTGTCTGAGTTCCAATATTGTACAAAGTTAATTAATACTTTAAGATTCAAACAGCATTTTCCTGTACTTGCCCTGTTCAACTCACATAGAGATGACCCTGTTCGATTATAGTGCCATTTTATACAATATTGGTGCGTTTCTACTCATGCTTTCCACTACACCCAATGCTCAAGAGGACCTATGAAACACTAACCCATAGGGTCACTTGTGTAAATACCATATTCTATATAGATGATCCAGCCTTGAATGCTAGTAATACTCATTATTATAATTCTAATGCTAATATTTACTGAGTGCTCACTGTGTGCCAGACATCATTTTGTAGGTACTAAACCCTTTAATGCTCACACCAATCTTAAATCAGGTAGGTGCTATGATTATCCCCATTTTACAGCTGAGGAAATTGAACCACACCCAATGGTACCATAATGAGTAGATGACCCTGAGATTGTTCAGCTGTACTCATTGGGAGGCAGTCCTGATGCTCTACTGCTGGCCTTGGGAGTCTCTCCTGCTTCTATCCACAAGGGCACACAGCATGGCAATCCCTAATCCTGCCTTTGAGGATGTACCTTGAGAAGCAGAGCTCATGGCTCTTGGCTTCCCACCAGAGAACAGAGCTTTTCAGTCTTAGACTTTTTTTTCTGGTTCCTCATTTCTGAGGTTGCTGCGGCTTCCGTTCTAGTGTCTAATTTGTCATAATTCCCTTTTTTCCTGCTTACCCCAACATGTGGCCTCTACTTATTTCTGTGCTATGTTTCTGTGCCCTATCCCTCTCTGGAGGGTCTCAAGAAACATTCTGGTGAGCCCGGTGTGCTGGGGGCTGCAGCTCTACCATCCGAGAGCTGCTCTTCACCTTCTCAGCTCCTTCTTGGTCTAAATTGTACTGCAAGACTAAGGGCTTTGGATAGTTGAGGCTTTTTTTTATCCATACGAAGAAATACACTGACTCACCTCTCCTGACTTGTACATAGGATTATCTTGACGCTCTTCACATATCTTGTTCTTTAATCAAAGTCCAACACTGCTTGTTTTATTTAAGTATGACTTCAATGAACTTTAATTTGATGAGTTGTAAGTTCTCAGTGATTCTGGTTAAATGTTTTCTTGACTTTGAGAGGACAGTCTTCTCTTCCTATAAGTCACTGAATAAGTCTTCCTAAAGCTAAACAAGCCTTTCTGTATCTCTCTTTGCAGCAGACTTCAATTGCCCCTTTAACATATCCCCTCCTTTGAGCAGAGGCACACTTCTCTGTGTTTTTCTATCCCCTTTACACACTAGGAATCCACGGAGCCCATCATACCCAGCACCCATAGCGTGGTAACTAGGAGGCAGCATAAAAAATACTACCCTCCTAGAAAGGATGGCTGTTATAAACCAATGTATTACATGCCTGCTAGAATAAGGGTTAGGTCCTGCTAGACCTGGGCAGACTGGGCTGTCACTGTCAGGAACAAGTGTAGGCAGGAAAGAGCTGACACGGGAGGTTTGAGACTTCAGAGCAGAGCCCTACAGTTAGAAACAGAGCTAGTGGCTCCTGGTGGCCTCTGGCACAGACACTGAGGAAATAATGGCCAGGTTGGAACCAGGAGAGGAACGGGGGACAGAGGTAGAGAGCCAAGGGAAAAGCTGGATGTGGGTTCAAGCCCAGGTTACCAGACACAAAATTACGAGGCTCAGAGACATCTGTACTGATACTTTCTCAGAGAGCAATGGGTTTTCTGAAGTGACAGGTTGACCCTATTTTCTGAGGATTGAAGGATCCCATTGTCCTGGAGCCAGCAGGGGGCTCTTCATATCATGAATGATAGTCCTGACAGCACACTTACATTCTTTTCTTTAGCAGGAATTTAGGTGTTCCCAGAACACAGAATTGAACTAAGAGTGAGAGAAAGAAAGAGAGGGAAGTGAGTGAGATGCTGTTGAGTTGAGGTCTGAAATACGTATTTTAAAATTTGGGCATTTATGTAGCTGATTGTCTCCTTAACATTCCACGTAGGAAAGGAAGGGGATCTATCTTATGAGTCAGATATTTCAGTTTAACCATCTCATTTGCTATTCCTCTCACAGTAGAGGAAAGCCAAGTGAGTTGTATAAATGGAATAATTACATTTCCTATTCCTGGGCGACACATTTGCCAGTTCTTTTTTAATAGCATTAGAGCCAGGCACGGTGGCTCAGGCCTGTAATCCCAGCAGTTTGGGAGGCCAGGGTGGGAGGGCTTGAGCTCAGGAATTTGAAACCAGCCTGGGCAGCATGGTGAGACCTTGTCTCTACTAAAAAAATTAAAAATAAAAATAAATAGCTGTGCTTGGTGGCACATGCCCGTGGTCCCAGCTACTTAGGAGGATGAGGTGGAAGGATTGCTTGAGCCTGGGAGATTGAGGCTGCAGTGAGCTGTGATTGTGTCGCTGCACTCCAGCCTGGGAGGCAGAGCAAGACCCTGCCTCGAAAAAAAAAAAAAA